TTAATATAATACATTTCATACCCATCAATTCGGAAATTATTTGCATTTTCGTCATTCAACCATGTCTCAGATATTGCTATTGCATTAAATTTATTGTTCAGTGATTTTAAATAGTCTGTTATTTTTGATAAGTTTGCATTCATACTTCTACTGTTAAGATGAATAATAGAAAAATCTGAATTTCATCTTGATGTCTCTGATTTCATGCTGCATTCCAGTTGTTCAGCCTTGAATTTCATGCTTCAAATAAACATGAACCTAACTGTGTTGTGTTCATGAAAAATTGTCTAAATCTTCTCTGCCAAACAGCTAATTTTGCCGTTGCTAATGACATTTGTTTTGAGCTTTTTTTAAAAATATTTTTATTTAGGGTCCCCATGCCTCTGCAGAGACTACTCTTCCTGGGGCCCAGTTTGAGGACAAACAGAACCTGCTGCTGGGAGGATTTCCTTTCTTCTTCTCCACATTTGTTGCTTTTGTCTGAAAAACTTGACTGAGTTGCTGACTAATCGTATTAATGAAACAGAATGATTGTTTCTCTGATGGACAGAGAGGACACTGAGACCTGGACACCACAGAAGGCCCTCTTCCATCTCCAGACTTTAGTTGTGTGAAGACGGTCCATCTGAGCAGCTCAGCTTCTAGGTCCAAGTTCCTCTGAGTCCTGACCCCTTTCAGTCAGACCAGCTCTGTTCCAGGTCTACACTGCCATCTAGTGTTAAACAATAATATCATGAAAATAAAGAAAAAAAAAAAACCACATTTTGACTCAACAATCATTCAATCAGGTGTTGTGCTTTAGTAATGCCTTATTTTGCTCATTCAGTCAGGTGTGTCCTTTGAAAAAACATCTACTGCGTCTGTGGGCGCACATGCCTTGTTGATGCCAGAGGTCAGAGGAAAACAGCCAGACTGGTTGCACTGCAAAAACTGTCCATCTTACCAAGTTTTAAAATCTTATATCCAGCCAAAAAGTCTTTTTGATCTTGTTTTGAGACTGATTTACTAAAGAAGAACTGATTGTGTAAGAATAATAATCTTGTTTTCAGAACGTGTAAGATTATTTGTCTTGTTAGTCTGAAAATTTGACTCAAATTAAGTCAAAATTTCTGCCAATGGAGTAAGAAAATTGTACTTGGTAAGATTCTTGAAATACTTGATTTGACTCAATTTTTTCTTAACACTATATATTTGTGGCATAACCACAAATGTCGTTACACTAATCAAAAACCAATTATCTCCATTTTTTGTAAATGAGGTCAACATTACATTAAAACTATCAGACAATCCACAAATATGAAAGCCATTAAAATTTTTAATTTATGCGACCTCTTTCATGTTTTTATGTAATGTATGTTAATCTAAACCAGGGCTATTCAGCTAAATTGCTCCAGGGGCCACATTTACTGCAGGCCACCAGCACAGGGGCAAAATGTCCAATCATTTAAAGTTATGTAAATAAACCAAATATTACAAAGATCTGTTACCTTTGAAATAGTTTATTTTGCTGCATTTAATTGTGAATACAACATACAGAACCCTATGCAATAAATGTAGTGATATTAAAACATCAAAAACAAAAACCATTTTGCTTCCCATTTAATACAATGCTATTTTGACTTCTGACTTGTCAAATCTTTGGACTGATTTTATTGTTTTACTTTATCTTCAACTGCTTGTAGTTTTTGCCATTTTAAGTGTCTTGGGGGTTCATCAAAATGGTTTTTACCAGCTTTTTAACCAAGATTCGGACATTTCTGTAGATACCATACATGTCTATGTCTAACTTAAAAAAACATATACAAGTTAAAGTAGAAAACCGGGGGTTTGGGATTAAGACATTAATGAACATATTGGCGGGCCAGATTTTGGTCACCAGTGGGTCTGATGTGGCCCACGGGCCACCAGTTGAATAGCCCTGATCTAAACTATTGCCTCAATGCTTGTAACCCCCTACCGACTGTTGGATTGGGTTTGCACTGTTCTGCATTGTTTCTCATAAAAAACAAAAACAAAAAAAAAAAAAAAAAACTAAAACTAAAACTTGCCATAAAGGTGATTTACCGGAAGTTGTTTTTCACGCATGCGCTTTGCAGCTCTCGGGATACAGGAAGTTCAAGATGGCGATGGACGGAATGATGTCCACGTCTCCGGGTCTGACTTACCAAACCGCCGGGGATTTTTACCCCCGAAAGTTCGGCCCGAAGCCGGACGTGGTTCCGTCCGGAGTGACGGAGAGGAAGGTGGTGCCGCTGGATAAACCTGACATGGTGACGGTGGACGTTATTAACATCAAGGATCCAGGTTTGTTATGCTAACTATGCTAACAGCTGTAGCTCAGAGCTATATGTGTATATAGATTTGTTTTAGACCGGGAACCCATTACTTGTGAATAAAACATCCAGCTACACTAAAGTCTGATGCGGGTGCAAAGACCTTTCCTTATTTTTAATATGGGAGGAAAAAAAATCCATCTTTGCCACTGCAAATAAAACAGTTTAGCATATTTTTTAATATAGGCTTCATAGAACCAGTTATTTTTCCTACAAAAATACAACAAACAGGGTGACTCCATATTGTGAATGGTTTAGATTGTCACTCATTTAGGATGTCCTAAGTGGTTGAATAGACGAATGGAACCAGACCTCTTGATTCTTGAAGATGTTTCTCCTGACTTCAGGTCTGATCATGGGTCTGAACGTATCTGAAAAGCTATGATTTGAAGCTCACATGAGCCACTGACCCAGCCCTCCATCCCGTGAGTTGTTTGGGTTGTTGTCACTTGTTGAATGTTTTAACACTGTCCAGATGGTGGCAGGTTTTGATCAATTGCGCCTACAACACAGTCATATTATACAAGTCATTCACAATAATGATTGCAATGATTCTCAAAAACTGGCTATTGGCTAAACCAGTGGTTCCCAAACTTTTAATCTTCTGACCCACAAAATATCCATGGCAAAAACTTGTGAC